GTTAATAACGGATGTTTTATGATCACTTCGAACGAATGAGGGCACGCATGCGCAAGAACACGCAAGTACAAACCACGTCACCCGGGCGTGGCGCGGTCGATACATCCAAACCGCACGAACCGTCTAATAATGGAGATAATATGACTAATGACGAATAAGTAGACTGATGACGAGGAAATCCATGGAAGGATAGTATATCCGGGTGCACTGTTCAGAGGTTTGGATCACGAGCTTACCCGCATTCTCCGTCGCTATGTACCTGGTATCATCAAAGGCGGTGCTATTGCACTGCTATCTTGGATTTTCATCAGGCTCGCGAAGCAACTCCATTCTTGTATCAAGCCGTTACCTTTTCCCAGCCCCAAGGTAGGAAGACTCCTCAAGTGATCCACTGGCTCCGGTGATGCAGCGGCACTGTCGAGTGAACTTTTCCGACTCTTCAGGGAAGTCCGATTTGCGGAATGGCCTTCAAACTGGATCCGAAAAGAGCCCTAACTTCCATGAGTGCCTGGGTCAAGGAATTCGGTGAAACGATCTCATTCCGGTGAGTCGCATGGTCTTCTTCGATCGAACTTATGGGTTTCCTTGGCGTGTTAACTGATGAACGCCAGGGGTTCCCTTTGGTTGTCTCAGAGTCTTCTCGAAGACCTTCGTTGTCACCAAGAATCACGATACTCTCCAACAAATATTCAGAGACTCGAGTAAAGGACTCTTCGTACGACAATTCAACACCCTGGGACTACTACCCGAGTCCGGCATCTTCCTCACACTGTGTGAGGAAGATGCCGGACTGTGTGAGTCACACACGGTCAAGCGTGGAGGGAAGGCAGAAGGAGGGTCGACCCAATACTCGCTGAGACGAATGTTCGCGGCTTGGTCCCCGCAATGTCCCAAATGTCACGGAGGCTGGTAAGCTTGATGACTTGGCTGCACCTTATGGCAATATGGACGAGAGAACCTTAGGTTAACGTGCTTTCTGCTATGAGTGACTGCGCTGGACAAGTTCACGACTGGGAGCCCCATGGATTGCTGCAACTGACAGCATTGGACTTCACATTCGCCACACACTTTGGGAAAGACTTCAATTTCCTAAGTCCACTAGGTGAGACGACAACATAATATTTCCAAGGGATCAAATCTTTACGCACTGTCATTGAAACTAGTCAATGACGTGCAAATGACAATCCGATAGATTGTTGATGGATCGAATCCATCAACGTGTCAGATGGACACGGTTACAGGAGCTGTTCGGTATTTTATTCCGGCAGCAGTTGTCACATAGTTACTGAGTATTCCGTTATGTTGCTCAGATACCAACGGAGCAGCCGATCGGGAGTACACCTTGGGCGCTTTTCAAGATTTCTTGACGGGCTTCGATTTCATCCTCAAACATCAGGCTCTAGGGCCTCTCCTGCAGAATAGGTACCCGAATAAGCTAAGCCAGAAAGTGGCCAAGGTGAGTTGTTCGTTGTCATCAACTCCTTTTATGTCTCCGATATTGTGAAAGTGGCCTCTTGAAGAGGCCCTCTTCCATGTAGTTCTACTCGTCTGTGGCGAAAGTGGAAACTTCTGCGAGAGAAATCATCGAACAGAGAAAGAAGGAATTGTCTGAAGGGGCTGAACCCAAGTGTACCGTTTTGGACAAGTTGATCGCCGAGAAGAGGCTACACTTGACATGGAATCTCATAACGTGAGTATTCCAGTAGCCGGTGATGGCCCCGCTTCCGCTCTTCAACAGTTTCACGCTGAGTGGGGGCACTTCGGTACCCTCGAACATCGAGTGGTTCCTCTATCTGATGTGTATAAACCAAGATGCTCAGAAGAAGGCCAGGGCCGAAGTTGACGCTCTTGGAAAAGATCCAACCGATAACGACGATCTTGACAAACTACGATACGTCGAGGCATGTGTGTTGGAAACTCTCCGTGTGGGTACAGCATCTTGCCTTATGTATATTGGTATACGTGAGGGATGATTGGCGTCGTATTTATTTAGATGAATAACTCGACCCCTGGTCCTCTCCCTTATCTAACCACAGCGCCCTACACCATTGAGGGGAGAGAACTTGAAGCTGGGACGGTATTGATAATGATGACTGGTGAAGCTATGAAGAGTAAAATCCATGGCGGAGAGGAATTCAGGTAGGGCCTACTGGTTCGAGATCAGTTGCAGGATTCTCCTTTCCAGGCCCGAAGGTTGGTTCGTTCCCGGTACCGGTGATATCGATCGTCAAAGAGCACGAAATCATTGGGCTTTCACTGGGAGTCCCCGTAGATGTCCAGGACAGTATCTCGCTATGAAGGAGTGTATAGTGATGGCTGCAACTATCCTGAGACATTTCGACGAGATCCATCTCAGCGACGGTTGCCATAATGTCGGTGAAAATTCTTTCATCAATCGTATACCTTCAAATTTACGCATAAACATGAAGTCGAGGCAACGCTGATGGTTAATAGTGAAGCCGGCTCTTGAGAACTATCCCTCTTCTCTTTCTTGATTCCAACGCCTCGCAGGTGTTAGAGGAATGTTGAGGACAACTCTTTAGTCCTCTCGTTTCAACTCTTTATTTCTCGAAAGCTTGACAACTCTGCTAGAGTTGTCGCTTAT